TTCTAGAAACGGCACCCTCGTCTCCAGACCACCGTGGTGATTGACATGTCCAACATACCTCAGCTTTCGGGACAAGATGCTGTTTATAGGCCAGTTCTCCTTGGCTAACAAAAATATTACTGCCTAATTAGCTTATATAAATATATATATATATATATATATATATATATATATATATATATATATATATATATATATATTCTCCAGCATTCCATGTCCTTGAGGTTTACTGGTGTAGATACTGCCTACCACCATCGTTTCCAGGCTCAGCCTTCTCATTTCAGGTGTTGTAGGTCTGCCCATGTTTTCTCTCATCATCATCTTGGTCTGCCTCACATCTGCTCCAATTCAACTCTTTGGTCTATACAGTTTTCTCTCTGTTGAATTTCTGATGTGAAGAACAATGTGTTTATCCCTGCAAATTTTTCTTGTTTGAACTCATATCTGGAGAAGATGAGTTTCTGATAAGAAGAACTATTTCCTGACTCCCTCATGAATTCTCCTTATCAGATCTGCACTCTATATACAGGGTTATTTAAAATAATGGGTACACATTCATTCATGTATATTTACTTAAATAGACATTACATAATACTAATATACATACAAGAGAGAGGGGAGTTCTAAAGTTTCAAACAGTACCGCTAGAGCGCAGTAGCGTAACGAACCACTCTAGTGCTCAAGAACGCAGGAAACTGTATGATGGCCATCTGACACGGAGTTGAACTAGCGGGTCCTTGATGGCACAAGCATGCACACTCAAGTGACTGATTAAGCAGCTGCTGTCTAGAAGTAGTAATGGAACCAAACCTAAGACCTTCTCCTCTCTCCTGTATGTATATCATTAATATGGAATGTATATTCAAGGAAATATATATGAATAAAAGTGCATCCATCCTTTTGAATAACCCTGTGTGTATCTCTGTTTGTGTGCATGCGAGCATGTGTGTGTGTGTACGATATATATATATATATATATATGTGTGTGTGTGTGTGTGTGTGTGTGTGTGTGTGTGTGCGTGCGCGCGCGCGTGCGTGCGTGCGTGTGTGTGTGTGTTTGTTTGTTTGTTTAAATTTAGGAGATTGAACAAACTAGTTTGTTCTATTCATTGTTTCACTATAAGAATAAATGTTCTGGTTATGAAAACTAGTCATTGTCTTTCTGGATTTATTCTGAACCCGGTGGGTGATGTCTATATTATTATTACAGGGGGTGCCTTTAGGTCCCATAACATTTCCAAGTCAACCTGGAAGCTCACGCATGAATAAATAAATTAATGAAGAACTAAGATTGCTGCAGTTGGGGAATTCCCACACTTTCTCTGTCTCTTTCTTCAGTAAACAACGCAGAGTCAACAAGCTAATACTGTAGTACCCGAAGTACCTGATTAAAGAGGTAAAGGTGAGCGGATCGGCTTTATTGCACTGGGTTTTATCCCAATCTCTCTCTGCAGAACAGTTAGCTGCCTGCTAAAAGAGCACGACCTCCGTAGCTCCAGTGATGATCCCTAGGGATCTCCGTAAAAGTTGCACTCATGAACTGAACGATGCCGCTATCAAACGAACCTACGACTTTTAGATCACGAAGCAAACTACCTGATTAAAAATCCACCGGTTTCCCTTCTTTTAGTGTTGAACATCTTCCACAGCCTCTGCTCATCCCTAACTGAATCAGTCTTTCAAAGTGTGCATATTCTATCTGTTCTGTTGCCCAGATAGTCTTCACCACATCCACTTTATCATGAAATAGCTAATTACTCACAGCAGCTAATCTATCAGCTTGCTTCTTACCCCACACACCTGACCATTCTCTTCTCCTGTGTTTGCATCTTTTGATTGAAATTCATAATCTAAATTCTCATGAATTTACTAACTGGTATCATATTAAACCTTGGCAAAAACGGTCTAAACAAACAAAAAGACATACAGAACAAATGAGTCCATAAGAAACATGTTCAATACCATATGAATTCATCACGTGTATAAAAGCAATCAATGGCACAGCAAGAAAAATCATACAAAATATAAGTACCAATATAAGCTCGCATCATCTCAGCTTGTTTTCACAGTAAAGAACTGACATCACAGCACTTGGGGCATTCCCTTAGGCACTGCATCCTCATCTTCAGCAGCCCATGCACAGTTTCCACCTCTGATGGTGCCAGTAAGCACTTTCGATTGTATCCCCGTCTTGCCTTTGCCCCCAGTGTTGACTGGCCAGACCCCCTCGTTGCAAAGTTCTCTTCATACAAGGAGGAACTTGTGCTTTTGCACTAACTTACTCATTCTCTACAGAGCCGTGATTCATCATTTAGTTTGTCATGCATGAATTCACCACCACGTGGTGCAGAACCAGACAATCTGCCTGTTCATTTACCAACACACCTGCACTTCTAGAAAATATTCAAAGGACATGCTGTTTATTTGGGATCTCTGAAGCGATGCTTGACACTCTTCGGATCTTCACAGCAGACGGTCAAACATGGAAACAATTACGCAAGTGTATAACTTTTCCTCAGATTTCATATACTACGAGTTTCCCAATAGGTTCCAGGGCCCCATTGTGGAAGACAATAAGAAAAAAACCCCCCCCCCCACCACAAGCGTGACAATTAATTCGGGCTCTTTCCTTCAATGTTGGAGTGATCGGCCTGAGAAGTAAGAAACCAACAGTCTGTCTACATAACAAGCAAATTCAAGTTTTGAAAGCAGAAGAACAACTACAATTTTCTGCCGGAGTTTACAGCTGGTGAATGAGAAGAAAATGCACTATCAGTGCTAGGCACTGACGTGGAAGACTCGAGTTTGATCCTATGTGAGGAACAGTGATCTGTTTTTCTGTGGGAGGGTGGGGGGGGATTGGACCAATCTTTTCCTGGCAATTCCATTAGCCATGGGACCTCAGGCTGATGCCCCACCTGCCCTAAAGAATAAATCCCATCCTAACAAAAGAAGGCTCAAAGACTGGCCGTCAACACTTGTGATGACTGAACTAAAAGACCCCCCCCCCCCCCCCCCCACCCCCCCCCCCCCCCCCCCCCCCCCCAAAAAAAAACCAGAATTTGATAAAAAATATTATTTCAGCATTTCACAAGACATTGTATAAAATAAAGAACATTTGATGCAACAAATCCACGTCACTCGAGGTTGGAAACATAATTCTTGCGTGCTGTTTTGAGCTCCCAGTTTCAACATAAGGCTGTGAATCCTGCTGTTATACAGAATAACTCTTAGAATTTCTTGGGCAGCCAAAAATAGCAACCCAGATGTTATGAAAGAGGCAGGGGCTTGAAAACAACTTATCACAAACATAAGAAAGAGACGGGTCATCATTTTTTGGGGTTCATGTTATGGAAAGAAAGAAACTAGAACATGAGAAGACTCCCAACTGCCTTTTGTCCTGGCATGGAAAGGTATCAACAAATGGGCTTTCGACAAAACAGAAGTTGCACAGATGCCGTTTATACACTGAGACAACTATCAGAGGGAGCAATAGGACACGATAAGACATGTTTGTTGACATTCATAGAACAAGAAAACGCCTTTGATAGAGTCAACAGGAATACGTTGTGGGAATGTATGGGGGGAAAAAGAAATCAGCAATCATCTCATTAATTTTTGCAAAAGCCTGTACACACTTAGATCGAAGGCAGGGTTGTCAAGAACTTTTATAGTGTACTCTGGTGTGCGTCAGGGCTGTGTACTGTCGCCGCTTCTTTTTATAAAAAACATAAATACCATATGTAAAGAAACAAACTTTAATCATGAAGAAGATATTACAGAATTACTATTCACCAACGACCAGGTACTCATAGCAAAAAGTATGGAATGCCTACAGAACCACCTAAATCAAATCAGTACGAAGACAGAGACAATGGTGATAGGAAGACAGAGAGACAATTTAGAAACAAAATTAAAAAACAACACCTTAAGACAAACAGAGGAATTAGCTTGACATGTGCCAAAGCTAATCAAGTAATGGGGAGAACTATCTCCCCTGTTGACACACAAGCATATACCATGAATACTAAAGAGAATCTTATCAGAACTATTTTTTGGCCAAAACTATGCCATCAGTGCCAAACGTGGACATTTTCATCCTCCAATGAACGTAAAATTGTGACAACAGAGATGAAATGCCTTAGAAGAGCTGCAGGAGTTTTAAGGAAAGACAGAATACGAAATCATGAAATCAGACGAATGCTAGGAATAAAGCCAGTCTTACAAGTCATCAAAGAACAACAAATGAAGTGGTCTGGACACCTAACAAGAATGCCCTTGTACTATCTGCCACAGCGAGCCACATTAAAACATTTATAGAGTTGTGGAAGACCTCGGAAAATATGGAGTGATGGCATTAAGAACAGCCTTTCAGAAATGAACATCAGTCTAAAAATGGCAGAGCTCATCAACGAATGTTACATCTCCCCCCGACACTTCAATGAGGTACAAGGTGGAAGAGAAGAAGAAGAAGATGGAAAGGTATCAACAGATGAACTGATACACACTGTTGTGGACAGGCAAGACGGCCTATGCCAGTTGGCAAAGCACTTGATGACAATGATTTCAAAAGACAAATATACTCTTCTGAAAACTAGATCTGGTGGAAAACTGGAAGGCACAAGTTCAAGTGGAAGACAACGGATTATATGGGAAGCTAACATGCAACAATTTAATGGAAGAGTATGTTAGATGGCCTCATTGAAAAAAAAATGTGGCAACCTTAATCATGAAGGCTGGTTGCAATCAGTACAGTATGGTGGAATAACATATGGTGAGGACTCTCCCCCCCCCCCCTCCTTCCACCCTCATGGTGTGGCTTTTGTTTCATATTTCCGGGCCATTTTCTCCCTAGTTATAAATCTGATAATATGGCTTGGGAATTATCCTCCGTTATAAATATGATAAATCAGGAGGTAAATCTCCTACCTCGTTATAAATCTGACAATAAAAAGGATGAAGTTTATTCCTAGTTATAAATCTGATAAGGCTTGCAGATGTTATGAACCTGACAGCACAGCCTGCGACTCGGACGAGTCTCCCCGACGCCTCCGCCGTCTGACCAGCTTACATGTCCACATAGCAAACAGCAGCAGCATCGGCAGAAGAACCACAACTAGAAGGCCGGCCATGACGTAGGAAATCACGAGGTATCTGGCCTCTCCGCTGTCTGGTTTCTTGTAGGCACACTCGTTCAAGTTTTCTGTGAGGATCATTGAGAATGTTAACAGTAGGCAAAACACAGTTAACATATGCCAATGTTACAAGCAGATAAAACAAAGTTAACACACAGAATGTTACAAGTAGACAAAGCACAGTTAACACACAGTGTTAAAAGTAGACAAAGCACAGTTAACACACAGAATGTTACAAGTAGACAAAGCACAGTTAACACACAGAATGTTAAAAGTAGACAAAGCACAGTTAACACACAGAATGCTACAAGTAGACAAAGCACAGTTAACACACAGAATGCTACAAGTAGACAAAGCACAGTTAACACACAGAGTGTTAAAAGTAGACAAAGCACAGTTAACACACAGAATGTTAAAAGTAGACAAAGCACAGTTAACACACATAATGTTACAAGTAGACAAAGCACAGTTAACACACAGAATGCTACAAGTAGACACAGCACAGTTAACACACAGAGTGTTAAAAGTAGACAAAGCACAGTTAACACACAGAATGTTAAAAGTAGACAAAGCACAGTTAACACACAGAATGTCAAAAGTAGACAAAGCACAGTTAACACACAGAATGCTACAAGTAGACAAAACACAGTTAACACACAGAATGCTACAAGTAGACAAAACACAGTTAACACACAGAATGTTACAAGTAGACAAAGCACAGTTAACACAAGTTTCCTGTGAGAATGTTATTACAAGCAGACACAACACTTAGCTGAGTGAGTGCATGGGTAAATGGATGGATGGAAGAATGGAAAGACAGAGAGATAGACTGACGGACAGATAAACGGACAGATGCACAGACAGAGGACACGATAAACAGAAGAATTAGTGGCTAGACACAAACTTTATACACAGTATTTAAAAAATTCACGGGATCAAAATACATGGACGAATAGACCATGAGCCCAATATGACATATAAAAACATTAGATGACGACGACGACACTAATCATGTATAAAGCAACAAAAACCTGACTTAACTGTTTGATGAGAACGGCCCAGAAATAGTCCGCTCCAGAATCTGGTGAGCCGGGTCAGGCAGTGGGCAGGTGGTCTGGCCGAAGCCAATCTTGGACGTGTTGCGATCAAACACCACATAAAAGGCCTCCATAAGAACTGCCCCTAACACAGTTCCTGAGGCAGACGGAGAGAAGCCGAACTTGACGCACGACTGATTGGGGAGAACACCTCCGCCTTGAATGTTCTCTACCGGTCGAAGATAGTGCTGGAGGAGAAACATGTAATTTACCGATTAGATAGAAGTGCCAGGCAACAAATGCTAACAATAAATCGGTATGTGTATTTCAGGGTCCCAATGCGGTTGTTGGTGTTGGGGGGTGGGGGCGGGGGAGGGGAGAGTGCCCTCCTGCAGTAAGAGGCAGCTAATTGGGGTTTTTCTTTGTAATTATCTCCACCTACTTGGGAGGAAAGGAACTAACAGGCTGCATTAAAAAAAAAAAAAAAAAGTTGGATCTGCAGAACAGATGTGCACAAAAAAACTCAACTTCTAGAGTAAGGCCAGTGCAAAAATGAACCAACAATCAGAACTTACTAGGGAAGTTTACAGACGGTGAAAATAAAGAAGAAGAAGAAGAAGAAAGAAAACAAGAGCAAGAACAAGAAGGAAAAAGGATTCAACATCCAATGCAGTAACACTGGCGAAGTATTGGGACAGCTAGCTTCCCCTCCTACAGCATAAGGCGATCCCAATCAGCACAAAGAGACATCTCATACAAAACATATTCATTCCCACCTCATGCTGCCAGTGCCAGACCTGGTCACTCACATCAAATCATAAACAAAAATTAGTAACCATGGAAATGAGATGTCTGAGCAGGGCTGTGGAGTGATTAGAAGGGAAAATATCAGAAATGATGTCATAAGAGAAAAAGTTGGCACAGAACCAATTCTAAATCAGATTCAAAAACAGCAATTAAAATGGTATGCCCACCTGGAGAGTATGCCTTGTGACGCCATACCATACAAGGCATTCACCAAAAGAGGACAAAGAGCAAGAGGTAGACCAAGAATCATAAAGACAGATAATATTAGACAAACTTTATACTAGCACAATGTGTCTATGGTTGGGGTGGTTAGAAGAGCAAGAAGCAGAACTTGACATCTCCCCCTGACACCTGAAGCAGTAAAAGAGGAAGTGAAGAGGAGGAGGAGGAGAAGGAGGAGGAGAAGAAGAAGGAGGAGGAGAAGAAGAAGAAGAAGAAGAAGAAGAAGAAGAAGAAGAAGAAGAAGAAGAAGAGAAGAAGAAGAAGAAGAAGAAGAAGAAGAAGAAGAAGAAGAAGAAGAAGAAGAAGAAGAAGAAGAAGAAGAAGAAGAAGAAGAAGAAGAAGAAGAAGATAAAGAAGAAGAAGAAAAAAAAAAGAAGAAGAGGAAGGGCCCTGGAACCCACATGGAGAACTTCAACTATTTAACCAAGTCTTTCCATTTCTGGCCATCAGATGCAGTAGACTTTTATTTTTAAGTCTGAGGCCCATCCAGCATGCAAGATTTCAAATCCACGTCTTGAACATCGAGATAAAACAAACCTGTGCTGTGATGTCCAGTCTAAACGAGGTGTTCTCAGACTCCAGGAGAAAGAATGAGACGACCGGGAAAACCGAGAAGGGAACCACCATGTCCGCGTAGCAAGCGACGTCACTTCCTGTGTAGAAATAAGGTCCTATATGTTGTCCCTGCAATAAAAAAAAAAAAACTAAATAAGAAAGAACTTTATACTTGTGTAAGGGACATATGGTGCTAAACCCAGTCAACTCTTGTTCTCTCATGCTCCTCCCTTGTGCTTAACTCTTTCGGTACCAAGCAAAGCATCATGTGCTAATTGATTTATTTTTAAATTTTATGATAGGCCTTTCAAATGTCCTTGCACTCCATCCAGTTGTTATATTAACTCCACTTTGTCCCAGTTATGTTAACTTACTTTGAACCTTTTGTTATGTTAACCCACTTTTCCCCAGCTGTTATGTTAACCCACTTTTCCCCAGTTATGTTAACCTACTTTGCCCCAGCTCTAACATATCTTTCATTAATGTTTCAAGTGGTTAGCATTCTTTGTGGCAATATTTACTGAAAACAATAATGATTTTTGTACAAAACTTTATGAGACTGAAAGAGTTAAACTCTCTCACCTAGATCTCTACAACTAGGTATGCCGGAGTAAGGGGTAATAAATCAGCAGACCAACTGGCAGGTCATGAACCACTGCATGCGGGCAGAGGTATGGACAGGGCTGATGTTGGTGGAGAATGTGTCTCAGACAGCTACATGAGAAGTTGATCTGGCAGCAAGTCTGGTGAAGCCTGCCTATGCCATCTTTGAAAATGGCTGCAACTAGGAGGCATTATAACCAACTGAGACCAATCAGTTGAGGCACCCTGGGACGGCTGCTGCATCGGAGGACTGTGGATGCATGGGAATACCCAGTATGAGACAAGCTGACTGTCATCATCATCCTCATGTAGCAGGTCCTTTGCAGAACGTCGCTCTCATCACAGTCTGTCTGAAAGAAACTCAGTCTCTCGCCATTTCTCCTGCCTCATGCACTTTCATACTCAAGGAGTCACTTATATCCTGTGCCCATCTTCATGTCGGTCGGCCTCTGCCTCTCCTTCCTGGTACCATGCCTTCTGCTATAATTTCTTCCAATCCTTCGTGGCGCTTGACATGACCAAAATATTTCAGCTTTCGAGAAAGGATGCTGTTTATTAGCCAATCTTCCTTGATGTTCAGATCTTTTAAGATGTCAATATTTCTCATCTTCTTTGTCCAAGATATTCTGAGAATATTTCTATAGCAAGCTGACTGTAATAACATAAAATAACACGAGGTAATAGAGATCATCAGATCTGGACGCCAACATACCTGTACATAGCTGTCTATTATCTGAACTGTTGCATCAAACACCTTCTGGGGTAAACGGATGTTTGTAGTTCCAGAATCCACGATGGTTTTATCAAAGTTATACTGCCAAGTAAACAACAAAATTATAAAGTCACTTAAGGGACCCTTTTCCATGCTTTTAGGTGCATTGGGTATATTGGGCTAGATCTATATGTTATAGACCAATCGGCACTCGGTGGGTGATGCGGTCAACATCATACGGGCCGCCTTTACTTCCCAGGACTTTTTACCTGGTACCCATCTGAGGCTAGATCGACCTGGGAGCCGAGGTCATTTATTAGAAAAGTTAGGCACCGTGGGGACTTGAATCCACGACCTTCTGATCCGCAGGTGAGCGTCTAGTACTACACCAAGGCCGTTCCCATACTGCCAACTAAAACATACAACATTGGACAACTACTGCACCAAGACATAATGATTTCTTGAGGGAAGCTATTACATTTATGATTATGTAAGGACAACTCCACAAACTCTAACAGCACATACAACACAAATATATAAATAATATGTTCTGAACTACAGAAAAGCAGTGAACATTTGTTGTAAAAATTAGAAAACACAGTATGTGTCAGTTTTATTCTTCTGTATTCCTTAATGTAGTACAGACCTTCAACCAGCTCATCATATCCTTTGCTGTAACATTCACTTCATCTTATTGTCGCTTTAGCGCAGTCAATAGGAGACTTGCTTTCAAATCCAGCTGCGGCTCGCTGCAACCCACGGCGGGTGTTTAAAACGGGCAGTTCCCGTGGTTCACCCAGCCTCTAGAAAAAAGGTACAAGAGCTAACACTCTGGGGTGAATGGAGGAAAGTCGCTGTAGCTACAGAGTTTTTGTGCGGACGGCGACACAGGCGGATGGTTTCCTATCAGCACTGGTGGCACTTATGGTTTATAACCGTGTGCAATGACGCTGGTTCACATCTCCGGACTTTACATTTACCTTTGTCGCTTCACTCAAGGTTTTTTTTTTTTAAGGAGTATGGGAATGACTGCTCTGTGCTTTGAGGCAGTTCAGACACTCAGCCGCCGACTCACATCCTATGTTTTGTTTTTGTTTTTTGGGTCATACTAATTTTGACCTGTTAGGGTCATGGAGGTGTATCGATGGAAGCACTAGAACACATACCTGTCATCGTTCTCTATCATAACAGAATAAATCCCGTGTGGGTTCCGGGGCCCCATTGTGGGGAAAACAAGAATAGACCCACTGCCTCCCCAAAAGCATGTCGTAAGAGTCGACTAATTGGGGAGCTTCCTTTGAAGTCGGAGTGCATCTGCTGGAGAGGCAAGGAACCAACAGTCTGTATTCAAGAGAATGAGATCTGTAAAACTGATGCACACGCAACACTCAGGTTCTGGAGCAGGACTGCAGTTCAGTAGTGGACGAGCAACCAGAACTTTCAACCAGAGTGTACAGCTGGTGAACACGAAGAAGAAGAAGATAACAAAATAACATAATACCAACATTAGTTACTACTGACCTCCTTACAATCCAGACCCAGGGACAGTCCATCCACATGTACGTCTGTCAGAACCACCTCATAGTACCACTGTTTGTATATCGGTGTGTAGAACAGTGGGGATTTTGATAATGATGGCAAAACACCTCCGATTATCTGCGGATGACAAGGACCAATTTTAACATGAATTTACTTAGTTGTAACCATTGTGTTGAGTTGAGCCAAGAATTGACATCACAGCACTCGAAGCATTCCAATGCATGCTCCGTTCTCACCTTCAGTAGCCAGCGCAGAGTTCCAATACTGATGGTACCGGTCACAATCTGGTTATATGTAATAATCTTCTTTCTCTACTGATTCCTTTGCTTGCTCCCAAAGGGCCTTGACCACATCGGCCTTGTCATGTATCAATTCCCCACCCAGTCGTGCAGATCCAGCCAATCTGTCTGTCTGTTCATTACCCACCACGCCAGCATGGCCCTGGGAAGTTGTAACCATTATATGAGGATGCAGCTGTTCATTAATCACAAGTGATGACCACAGTCTTTTCATCCATTGGTGACTGGATTAGGTTTTGTGAGTGGGCAGAAGTCTGATAAGGCCAATTCTTGCACTGAAAGTTCTTGAGCAATGTGGACAGGAAATTGAAGCAGCATCTCTCTAGTAATTTGCTTCGGTGTCTTTCCTGGTTTGACTTTTCTGAATTGCTGCTACAGTTCTAGCAGCTTCATGGGCCGCAGCTTCTTGATGAAGAGAGGAGCGCCAGGATGAGCGGTCACATGCAGCGACTTCCCAGGTTTTAGGATCAATACAGAAGTCTTTCAGAGAAGGCTTAATCTTGATGTTGTCCTTGAAATGTTTCTTCTGTCCACCTTAAGAGCATTTTCCTTTTGTAGCTCACCATAGAAAATTCTGTTTGGCAGTCGGTGGTCAGGCATGCGGACTATATGACCTGAGGTTTTAGTGATGCAAGATATACCAGACTTTTCTGTATAAACGTATAATATATCTATATATAATACAAGCTCTACCTACCAAAGTTCCCTCCATGAGTGGTTTGTCCCTAGTGTGCACAAAGGAAGATCCACACAACTGGATGGAGAACACATTGCTGACATCCAAGTTTTCCATTAACAGGGTATCCCAAAAAGGAAGGTATGAAGAATCTGGCTGTAGATGAGAAACAAATGAAATATCATTCTTAGATAAAAAACAAATAAAATATCTGTAGATAAAAAAACAAATGAAATAATATCTGTACATAAGAAACAAATTAAATATCTGTAGATAAGAAACAGATAAAATATCATCTGAAGATAAGAAACAAACTACTGTTATTTGGTAGTAAAGCCACACCTGACAAGTTAACAGAGAACATGTAGTATCGACCAATGTTGTCTGTTAGCTCAGTCATATCTGCCTAAGATCTGACAACAGGTATTATCGACTAATGGATCTAGTAATTCAATCATATCTGACCAAGTTAACAGAGGAAAACTTAATATCAACCAATTTTATCTGGTAGCTCAATCATATCTGACCAAGTTACCAAAGGAACTGGTAGTGCCGACCAAAGTTATCTCATAGCTCAGCCTTATCTGCCCAAGATCTGACAACAAGGAGTACACAGGGGTCTAACAGACTTACCCTAGACAGTTCAGTATAAGCCAGGCCGAGGATGCCCTGCCACTGGGCATCACTGATGAAGAAGGACTTGGACTCGGTGATGCAAGCAATGTTGACGGTAGCTGATAAGTTTAATGCTGATGGCAGCGTGACGATGTCTGTCCCCAGAAAGCCTCTCCACTCTCCTTCTGTGTAAGGCACATATATCTCCACTCCACTGGAGCTGAAAGAGCTGGAGCTGAGGGAATAAATCAACATCTGTGTCACAATAGGAAAGGTGAATAAAAGTTGGGAGAGTAAAAAGGAATTCACTTTATTGCCCCAGGACTCTCCTTCTTTCATTAACTTAAAACAGAATGTCTATGTGTGCTGAACTATGGGCAGCCAAAAAGAGCATTCCAGATGTTTTGAAAGAGGCTAGGCTCCAACACAACTGATCACAGTGAGACAGTCATCATATTTTTCTTGGTCATGTTATGAGAAGAAGGAAACTAAAACAGGCTGTGACAAGTGGAAAGATTTGTGGAAAGAGAGACAGAGGAAGACAGGGCGAGAAGATTCTTGACAGCCTTTTGTCATAGCATGGAGGGGTGACAACACACGAACTAATACATGCAGCCGCAGATTGTGGAGAGGCATGATCGCCTATGCCAGTCGGCAAAGCACTTGATGATGATGATGACATATGCAATTTTCTCTTTTGGATGTTATGTTACTGGTCAAGCCATCTGCCTCCTGTTCTGAAGGTCAAGGATTCGTTTCACGAGTGTAATGTTCACGGAGATCCCTGGGGCTCATCACCGGAGCTACAGAGGTCATACTTTGTGTGACGCTCTCGCCGGCCAGCTAGCTGTTCTGTGGAGAGAGACTGAGCCATATGGGATAAAACCCAGTGCAACGAAGTCGATCGAAGAAGAAGAAGGACGAAGAGGATCTACCTGAAAAAGGGTTCTTTTCTTGTCCTCTTCCTCCAGTTACTGCATCGAGGTGTTGAAGGGGAGATGTCAGGAACATGTGTTTGTTCTTTCTTATGCATTGTCTCCATGGCCAAGTGGTCAAGCCGTCTATCTCCCGCTCTGAAGGTTGTGGATTCGTTTCATGGCTGCGGCCTTCAGTTAACGAGTGCAGTTTTTACAGAGATCCCTGGGGATCATCACCAGAGCTATAGAGTTCATGCTCTGTGTTATACTTTCAGCAGGTGGCTAACCGTTTTACAGAGAGAGACCCATCCATATGGGATCAAACCCTGTGCAATGAGGTTGATTCTCTTGACTTTTAACCTTTATTTCTGTATCTAATTTGTAGCTCTTTAACACCTTTAAGTACCAGAGTACAGTCAAAATAATTATAAATCTCTATCTGATGAGTTTCTTGGTACCCAAATAATTACTAAACCATACGACTGATTTGGGTCCTAGCTGAAAAGGTACAAGGGTTATACATGTGGTCAATGTAATACTGACCATAAAGTGCCAGTGGTCATAAAAATAAGTGGACAATGAGTTCAGAGCTGTGTTAAGAACCAACATCAAAGCACTCTGGACATTCCCATAAGCATCCTGTCCCCATCTTCAGCAGCCTGTGGAGAGTTCCAATTTTGATGGTACCAGTAGCAGTCTGTGTGTCCATTTACCTTTCTCCTGACTTTGAAGTGTTAGCCAAATCCCTTGGTTTCTCCACAGGTATGCTCCATGCAGAGTGGCAAGCATCACTTCAGAGGTCCTGGCTAGTTAGCATCCTTTGGATATTTTATCAAGGTTATGGTAGTGTGTTGGGAAATAAGCAGGCAGATAGACTGGCTGGCTCTGCACCAGTTGGAGGGAATTTGGGAGCGAGTGAACAGTGTGAAGGCGCAAACAGATCATCTGAGGAGAGAAGCGTTGCAGGGAGTTACCAGGGGATCTGGCTGATGCTCAACACTCAAGGGAAAGGCGAGACGGATATACAGTCAGACAGTTACTAGTGCCAGCAGAATTCGCTTGCTGCTGAAGATGGGGGATCAAGCGCTTATGGGAGTGTCCCGAGTGATATGATATAAATTCTTAATTCAACATCTGGTTCCTCCAAACTGCATCATTCTCTACAGACCATGACGATCTACCCTTCACACTGAAGACAGAAGCAATCAGAGAATGGACAAATCGGCAACCGGATTACCCACTGGCTGGCCGGTGGATGACTTCGTTGTCGGTCGGGACAGTATCTGGGTCTGTCTCCTTTGATCGCAGCAACAATGTAAGAGTCCTTTTCAGGGCTGCTTGATGGCGAGGAATGCTAAGACATTTTATATGGTGCATATTAACCTAGTCACAATTCATCATCATCATCAGGTGCCTTGCCGACTGGCGTGGGCGATCACGCCTCTCCACAATCCGCGATCTCCTGCAGCATGTATCAGTTTGTGTGCTAACACACCTCCATGCCATGCAACAAGTCTGTCAAGAATCTTCTCTCGTTGTCTTCCTCTATCTCTCCTTCCACAGATCTTTCCAGTGGTCCCAACATGTTCCATTTTCCCTCTTCTCATAAGATGGCCGAAAAATTATGACTGTCTCCTTCTGATGTCTGTGATAAGTTGTCTTAGGGCGATGCTGGTAAAAAGTGATTTTTGTTTTGTTTATTTTTTAGCAAAAGCAACAAGCAAACAAGAAAGCAACATCAAGACAATACATACTCACTTTTCTTCATGGAAATAATGACTTAAATTTGGATCATGTTCGGAAGCAACAGCAAAGTTGGCACTGCCTGTATCTATCAACACTTGCATCTGAAAGGTTAATCATTCTATTTTAATACAGCGTCGTAAAATGGATGGGCATGTAACATTCAGGTTCTCATATCTTCTCTTCTAACATTCTTTCAATATGCCCCAACCATTTCAGTCCATTAGCTCTCAGAATGCCAGTAATCAGTGGTGATTTAAACATATTATTCAACACAAGCTTGTACATGGAGTCAATCAATATAGGCTTGTACACAGAATCATTCAAAACAAGCTCGTACACGAAGTCATACAATACAAGCTTGTACACATTCAATACAAGCTCATACATGGAGTCACTCAATACAAGCTTGTACACAGTCATTTAAAACAAGCTCGTCCATGGAGTCAATACAAGCTTGTACACATTCAATACAAGCTTGTACACAGTCACTCAATACAAGCTTGTACACAGTTATTCAATACAAGCTTGTACACAGTCATTCAATACAAGTGTGTACACAGTCACTCAATACAAGCTTGTACAGTCATTTAAAACAAGCTTGTACATGGAGTCACTCAATACAAGCTTGTACAGTCATTTAAAACAAGCTCGTACATGGAGTCACTCAATACAAGCTTGTACACAGTCATTTAAAACAAGCTCGTACATGGAGTCACTCAATACACGCTTGTACAGACATTTAAAACAAGCTCGTACAGGGAGTCACTCAATACAAGATTGTACACTGTTATTCAATACAAGCTTGTACACAGTCACTCAATACAAGCTTGTACACAGTCACTCAATACACGCTTGCACATGGAGTAATTCAATACAAGTTTGTACACAGACTCCCTCAATACAAGCATGTAGAATCAATACAAGCTAGTACATGGAACCACTTAAGACAAGCAAGTACATAAAGTCGCTGAACACCTCAAATAACAACATACCCTCTGAGGAGGTGTCCCAATATCAACGTCAATATAATACCCATTGCCAGACAGCCCAACAAGATTATTTCTCATAGAGGTCAGGTCATCAGATGAAGAAGCCTCCCTCCGGAAAACATGCATCAGACTTTCACCAACACCTGAGCCATTTCTACTCTGACTGACAGGCTGCCGTCGCTGTTTTACAGGGAACTTGTATATCACGGCCGAGCATGGCTCAAATAAATGTAACAACACAATAAAAACATTGATAATGCTGATGAAAGACACGTATGACTGTTGAAGACTTCCGTTTCGATGCTTGTTGTGGGGATGATTATTTAAAATGCCAAGTTTAGTCAATTTCCTAACTGGCAATGCCCAGATTGACTCAGTTTGAGGCATCCTCTGAGACTGCCAAAGATACTGACACTATGATATGTCTGCGTAGGATATGTCCACTATCATTACCATCATCCTATTGTGTAGATATTTCACGTATGTCCAACAGAAGGCAAATATTTTCTGGTCTAAGTTAGTGAGGGTATAGTTTTGCCACATAAGCCAAATAAAACCAATGGCACAAGAAAGCAATTAATGAAAACCAAACTGGCACAGTAAATCCTTTTGTTGATGTGTAGATTATTCAGCATTGCCTGTATTTATTGTGACAGAACCTGCAGCATCTGTGGACATGCCTGAGGTACCATGACGATAAAGTGAGCTCAACTGAAGTACTGTTTTCAGAACTGCTCAACCGAAGTCATGCTTTCAGAACTGCTCAACTGAAGTACTGTTTTCAGAACTGCTCAACCGAAGTACTGTTTTCAGAACTGCTCAACCGAAGTACTGTTTTCAGAACTGCTTAACCGAAGTCATGCTTTCAGAACTGCTCAACCGAAGTACTGTTTTCAGAACTGCTCAACCGAAGTACTGTTTTCAGAACTGCTCAACCGAAGTACTGTTTTCAGAACTGCTCAACCGAAGTCATGCTTTCATAACTGCCCAACCGAAGTACTGTTTTCAGAACTGCTCAACCAAAGTCATGTTTTCAGAACTGCTCAACCAAAGTCATGCTTTCAGAACTGCTCAACCGAAGTACTGTTTTCAGAACTGCTCAACAAAAGTACTTTTTTCAGAACTGCTCAACTGAAGTGCTGTCCTCATAACCGCTGAACCAGCGTGATGTTTTCAGAACTGCTTAACTTGAGAGCTATCATCAGAACTGCTGAACCAAAGTGCTGTTTTCAGAACTGGTGAAATGAAGTGCTGCTGTCATAATTGGCTGATGTTCCTTAGTGCAGCCTCTAATCAGTGATAGTTTTTGTAAAGACACAAGCTGTCCACCCCAATTTCAGGCACAACATGTGCTGTGTCTTCTTGAATCTTCTGACTGGGAATGCTTCCTTCTTTCTGACGGTGACATCTGATTCCTTTTTATTGTAATGCATACAATGGATGGCCGACTCAAACCTGAGAATACAGGAAAGTGATATGCCATCAATTAAAATAATCCCCGTGTGGGTTCCGGGTCACACTGTGGGGAAAACAAGAATAGACCCACTGTCTCACCAACAAGCATGTTGTAACAGTAGAACAACTGGGGGTTTCCTTCGAAGTTGGAGTGCATCTGTCTGAGAGGCAAGAAACAAACAGTCTACATACAAATAAGTTAGATCTGTACAATGGATGTGCACGCAACACTCAGTTTCTGGAACAAGTCTAAAGCCCGGAGGCGAATGAACAACCACAACTTTCCGCTGGAGTTTACAGCCGGTGAATGTGAAGAAGAATTAAAATAACTGTGCAACATTACATGAAGGCTCAATGCTTTTTGCTTCTTCCTTATCTTCAGTAATCTCCTTAAAAGGATGGATGGAGCATTGTGCTGTTGTTTACAGCTAGGCTTGGATATTTGCACCATTCAGCACAACAAATCAAAAATCCTTTTTTCCTGGTGGTACACAGTGCTGACACCTAGATTTTGTTTTTAGGAATATTTTTATTTTTAGGATTCGCGTTAACAAACTGGTTCTAAGAATATCACGGGTAAAGAAAAGAACAAATGCATCCATACTTCAAGTACTGACTATTGAAGAAGGTTGGCTATTAAAAACGATAAAACACAGAAAACGGAGATATTCTGGTCACTTGAAGCATCACGAAAGTTTAGAGAGAATAATAATGGTGGTGTATATGCCTGGAAAGAGAGGAAGAGGAAAGCCAAAGAGAAGATGGTTGCATGATGTGGCGGATGATCTCCAGATGGGTGTATCAGACTTCTTGTTTGTGAACGAGAAGTTTTCCAGAAGGTTGTTATGGGAGCAAGATTCTGCAAAGGACATGATACTGACTGACTGAGGGTGGACAGATACTTTATGGTAAGCACTGGCATCTTTTTTTTTCCCAAGAATAAACCCTGGGTATTAATATATCCTTAGATGGATTAATGGTATCTACATCAACTTTAAACAGTCCAGAAATATTAGCAAGATTACAACAATTACCTTAAAGTACACTTCAAATATACTAAATGTAACAATCTATACTTCTATATTTTACAATACATACCATGTCGCTCCCCTCTCATCCCCACCGAATAAACAAAATCAATAACCTTTTTTCTAAATAACTCTATCAAAAAGTACCTGATTATTATACAATTTGGGCCTTTATGTGTGCATGTCTACATGCAGTTATCTGAAAGCCTGAGAACATCTGGTTTGTTCTGAGGAAAATGAGCTTTCCTCCGAATAGCGGTCCCAAATTATCGAGGATAAGAAAATACCCTAACAGGGCCTCAGTCATATGTAAATTGTGAACCTCTTTCCGGCGACTATACTGTCACCATCGAGGTATCCCCCGCGCCGCCAAGGGGGGCTAAACTAGATGGTTGGGACTCACGAGCAAATAAAATGGAGGAAGCTGCAGGAGATGCGGTGGCTGCTGCTCGTGAGTCCCAGCCATCTAGTTTAGCCTCCCCTCTGCGTGCGAGTAGTGGCGCGAGTGAAACTCTCAGCGGTGAATTTAACTAAGCGGAAGCCTTTCCGCGGTATAGTCACCAGAAAGAGGTCCGCAATTTAGGGTATTTTCTTAGCCTCAATAATTTGGGACCGTTATTCAGAGGATAGCCAGAAAATGATATTCTCCGTCCAAAGAAGTTAAAACTGAGGCAACTGGTGTACCCTGTAGTCTTGTGCAGATAAAGAACTGATAACAACTTTTATCAGATGTATACACACGAAGTGGCCATGACAGTCAATAGCAACAACATTTTAGGTTGGAGTACTGTGTTTCTAAAAAAACAAAACAGTAATCTAGATTCTAGAAACATCTGACTTCAAATCACCTTCACAAACCAATACAAAACATGGGAGAAGCTCACACAGTACAGATAACACACTAAATTCATTTCATAAATAACTGTTCTTAGTGCTCATACTGTCGAACTTGACTTCAAAGATGTATCGAGAAATGTGTGGCAATAGAACAAACATTCATTAAAGTTGGGCGTTGTCACACTACTACACACGATTTAGTAAAACAACCTTCACACTTATATCTCCTATTTTAATTATTCACAAACCAATAGAATGAAACAACACAATGAAAGTATACATACAGTACAGATAAAACACTACTGAAATTTAGCCATCGATTATTTTTATAATAACTGTATATTAAATAATTATTATCTAACTTTCTTTACTGTCAGCAAACTTGTCGAGAAAAGAATGGCTGTTGAAACTGGACTTTTCAATTTAAAGTTAGGGCTCTAAAAGAACATAGCAACCTAAAGAAGTTGCCTTCTCTTACCAGACGGATTAAACAGAGAAATGTGTTTAAAAATACTCAAACAGTAAAAGGAAAATGTGAAAAATAAGAAGATAAATACCCCAAACTGAAAGTGGACTGCTAGATCTCAGTTGTCCACTCCTTAGATCAGCCATCTGTGTCTGCTGGCCAGTTTAAAACATGGAGCAGGACACACAAAAACGAAAACGGGCGATCTAATCTTCACTACTTTCTCCTCTCGAATTTGGTTTAAATATATATTTAGAGAAGATTCTGAATTTTGTTGTTGCTTCTCACGCCATTGATAACTGGCATCATGAGAGTTAACAGACTAAAATTGGTTGGGCATATTGAAAGAATGACAGAGAAGTGAAAACTGTATACACCAGGGAGATGATGGTCGTAGAACACGAGGGGGACCAAGAAGACGATGGAGAGATAATATCCAGGCAAAGCTGCAAATATTTAAATAGCTGTAAACAAAGCAATATCTGAAAGAATAACACACACACAAACAGATTAGTCCTAAGTAAATAATTTCATGATATATATAACATGATATAATAACAAATATATATTCTAAGAACTCCATGACCGCTTTATATCTCAATCATAACACATTACTATTGAAACCCACCCACACTGGACTACATGTAACTCCTTTACTGTTCTTTGGTGCCCCAATATAACCGGCTGCCTATATATACCTCTAAAGAGGGCTTCCAGGATTGGCAAATGCAAATCTGGAGGGGACATATACTTGACAAACAAACCAAAAAATTTTTTTTCCAAATTACTTTTTCTTCTCCCCCCCCCCTACTCCTGGAATGCCTCGCGGTGTCGAAACAGGGAGAGATCTCTGGAACGGGGACTTCTGTTAGCTTTGTATACAATACTTTTCAGTGGCTGATATTTTTGCGGTCCATATTCAGTGTGGTCTACCTCTAGTTCTGTTATCGTTGTATAACACTGCTCTCTGTGGTGCCCGGTGTAACGACAGTCAGTCATTCCCTTGTGGGATGCAATATTTCGTTATTTTGAAGCCCCACCCTGGCTCTTACCAGAGGCAGCGTTAGCGCAGTCGATAAGAGGCTCGCTTTCAAATCCAGCTGCGACTCGCTGCAGCCCACGGTCAGTGTTCGATACCGGGCGGCTCCAGGGGTTAACCCAACCTCTAGGAAATGGGTACCAGAGTTAACACTTTGTGGTGAACGGAGGAACGTCGCTGTTGCCACAGAATTACGTGCAGTCAGCGACACAGGCGGACAATTCTTATCAGCTGTCCGTACTGGTGGCAGAGCACTTATGGTTTGTAACCGTGTGCAATGACGCTGGTTCACATCTTCCGACTTTACCTTTTTTTAGGGGCAGCAATATAGCCCGACCATAAATATGATCAAAGTGCTGAACGCGGTTTCTGGGACCTCTCCACGGTGATCCTCATCCACATGATGGCACCTTGTGTCATCGGGTGTTTATCGCTTGTGTGATGTCCTGGTGGGGTAAAATATACTACTACTACTACTATTTCTACTACCACTAATACTACTACTACTACTACTACTACTACTACTACTACTACTACTACTACTACTACAACTACTACTACT